ACTTCACACACACACACACACGCAGCGCTCACAGTCTGCCTCAGTCTGCACCCGTTTTTTTTACACCAAGCAAAAAATGCATTAAAACCAGCTGTTAACTTTAGATCACAGTTTGAAATGTACACCGAAGAAAACCTGCATCATGACTTTTATACTGCAGTCAGAGCAAACGTGATCTGAGCAGCGTCTGCCTGGTTTACATGTTTATATGGACGGCAGCGCTTTCGCTCTTATGAATGTAACAGCGAGAAAAGACCAAGAGATTTTTATTTTTAATCCAGCAGGGAGAAAAATACAGGTGTTCCTCTATATTCCTATGAGCAATTCCAGCATTTTTTAAAAGAAAAGCAACGCGGACACGCTAATTAGTGCGGTTTCAAAGCGAAGGTAAAAAAACATGGCGCTCGCTATGCTCCCGTTCGAAGTGAAACTWAACACACAGCTGTTCTCTCTACCACTCATAGTCCGACACAGAGGGCAGAAACAGCTGAATTAGACAGTTAAAACACATTAAAAGTTCATAACTCACCGTTCCCACAACAACTCACAGTTGTTAGCACTGTGTCTCACAACATTAACAGCTGCTCTCTCCCCGAGGGAGGAGGCGGCAACATGCGCTCGCGTGACCCAAAGAATGGATCAGCCGAACGGACGGACGTGTCAGCCGATACTGATATAAGGCAAAAATGCAAATATCGGCCAAAAATATCGGTTTTTATAGGTTATTATGAAAATGTAATCAGCTACAATTACAAATTACTTCATTTGTAATAATGTAGTAATTTCTTCCCATATAAACATGCATGTTAGTTTGCCTTCAGACTCAGGCCTACCTTGCAAAAGAACTCTGTCTCACTGAGATTTACCTGCTTAAATAAAGATTAAAAAATAAAATAAAACATCATTGTAGGATAACAGTGAGATAAATGATGTGCAACAAAATCTAGGGAACCTCCTCCAATTGAGGTTATAAGGGGGTCCTTCTACACCTGTGACAATATACCGTTTTGTATTTTAAGCCTGACACCATCCTCACTTGATTTAAAATTCTTCAGTTGATGTAAATTCTTAAATTCTGTTTTTCAGGAAAGAAATCAACATTTTGAGTTCCTGTCTCAGCCCTTCCACTCCAACTCGATCACTGGYTTGTCCATATGCATTCGTAAGCCCCTCGTAGCTACCTGCTCTCTAGACCGCTCTGTTCACATCTGGAACTATGAAACAAAGTAAACATTTATATAATTTTCTTCATGTACTGCATTTACCTCCTTTAGTTAGCTTCATGCTGGTAAACTAACAGCAAAGTTAGTCATTTACGTCCTTCTGTTGTTTTTGTCTGCAGGGAGTTGGAGCTGTACAAGGATTTTCAGGAAGAGGCTCACAGCGTAGCTCTACACCCCACTGGTCTCTTCCTTTTGGTGGGATTTTCAGACAAACTCCGGCTGATGAACCTGGTTATTGATGATATCCGTATCTTCAAGGAGTTCACAGTGCGTGGCTGCAAAGAGGTATTCCTTAGTTTTATGTGCTGTAATCTTCAATTAGAAATGTTCTGAAAACATAAAGTGTAAAACACAGCTGCTGCCTAAAATTCCAACATAACTACAAAAGAATCTAAACTAAAAAAAAAAATCTGACATTTTTATGTATGAACTGGTGTGTGTGTGTGTGTGTGGAGGGGGGGGGTTATGACCCCCACGAAAAATCGATTCATTCATTAAAACTCCCCCAATAATATTAATAATATCACTGTGCATAATTTGCTCTACACAGCTATAACTCTCTTGTTGTCTTTAGTTAACTTTGACCTGATTTCTAGTCATTTTAAATACTATTAAGCATATTTGAGACTAGATGTTATAGTCAAAGTTAACTAATAAGTCTGTCTCCCATTTCMCAATAGGAAGTGATATTGAGTCATCTATGCTAGACAATTTCTTGTAGATTTTAGATAGCAGTTTAGGGGATTTAAGATGAAGGATTTTTAATACACTTGATGGGGTTTCTGATAAAATATTATTGAGCTTAAATTTATATTTTATTATAGATTTTATTTGTTGATATTCTAAAAATTTCTCCTTGTCAATACCATATTGTATTATTAATCTRTTAAATGGAACAAAGTCTGCACCCTCAAATATATGTTCCAGAAGTTCAACTCCTTTACATCCCCACCCAGGAAAATTTAACGTATTTTTTTTTTGTAAGATGTCAGGATTGTTCCAGATTGGTGTTTGTCTACATGACGTGAAGACTTTGTCATTTTCAAAAATTCCCACCATGCTGCCAGAGATGAGCTGATGTTTTTAAAGCAAACATGTCGTTTTATGTTTGTGCTAACGTATGGAAGATCTGAAATCCTAATAATATGACATAGTGTTTGTTCTATGTCTATCCAGGATTTGTGGTCTAGGATTTAACCATTTTGAGATGTACAGTAGCCTGTTGGCCGTGAAGTAGTGATAGTCCTCCCTTATCTTTAGTTTTCTGTAATGATTTTAGGCTAATACGAGGAGTTTTGTTTTTCGGTATCTTTAGTTTTCTGTAATGATTTTAGGCTAATACGTGGGGTTTTATTTTTCCAAAGAAATTTAAAGATGAAAGAATCCAGAGATCTAAACTAGTCAGGTGAAGGTTTATTTGGTATCATTGAGAATAAATAATTTATTCTGGGAAGTACCATAATTTTAATTGAAGCAATTCTTCCCATACGTGAAATGGGTAGAGATTTCCATCTAGTTAGANATAATGTGAGTGAGAAAGAAAATCCTAAGTAAAAATAGGAATAAAATATGTTTATCACGCAAAGAACGAGTGATTGTGCGTCGATGTGTGTGCGCACGCTGCTGTGTTGCGCAACTGGCGCATCCATCCATTCTGAGTCTGAAAATATTAACTTTGCGCACGAGTTTATTACCAAGATTACTGTAAACACAGAGGAACTTAGGTGTTTGGTAGAACATAGATCTTAGTTTATTTCAGAGCTGATATTAAGAAACAAGTCTCTGCCTCTCAGTAGAGAGTTCACATGATGTGACGTGATGTTGGAGAGTCCCCACAAACGCTGCGCGTGTCCCAGCCTTTGTGCGCAGTCTGTTTGTCTGTCAAGCTTTGGCTCTCCTACTTACAGCATTTTCACAAGTTGTAAAGTGTACTTCCACGTGTCATTTTGGAGAAATCTACAGCAACATATGAAACACCTCCACTGCCGGCGAGGGTGCGTGCTCCAGAGCGTGACCATAACTCAGCCTTTAAATCAAATGGATGAGACCATTGCATTTGGCATGATTCGGCTTTGGTTGGACTGGACTGACACAGTCCCGATGGGTCTGCCAGCTCCCTCTGGAAAGCTCCTGTGGAACGCCAGTTTGATCGCTGCTTCTGCACGTGCACGCGTGGTGCACGCGGCTACATGCTGCGTTTCGCTCCCAGAGCGCAGCAGTCCCAAACTAAAAAAGGATTTTTCCTGAAAATGGCTGATGAGCCACTCGTCATCGTGGATCACAAAATTCAGTTTATAAATAAATGCTCTGCATGTTACACTGTTTATTATCTCCTCCACTAAGGCTGAATCTGTTCCTGTTAAATGTATTTTTGGCACAACTTTGCGCGTCCTTTATCTAACTGCGTCCATGAGGATGTAATAATTGTTAATCATGTGGATGTAATAATTGTTAATCATGTGTGTCTGGTATGAACAATAATCATTTTCACATCATGAACAGTTTCTCAGAATCACCTCTAAGTGTCGCCAATGAAACCAAAACTACAGAAATGTGCGTACGCCAGCCCTGGAGTTAGCGTGGGGCTGCGCACATTTCCACGTTGAGTTGAGTTTTGATACATCCGGAGTTTTGTGCGGAAAATGGCGTACGCAAGGTTTTTGTGCGTACTCACCGTTGATACATGAGACCCCTGGGGTCTCATTTATAAAGGATTGTGTGGAAACCATACTAAAAGTGAACGTACAGCCAAAAGGCGGAAATGGCGTACGCCAAAAAAAATTCAGATTTATAAAACCATGCGTACGCACGTTTCTGC